GGTCATTTTCTTTCTTTGTTAATTATACTTTTACATTCTATACATTCTATTCTTAACTCTTTTTTTTTTTTTTTTTAAGATGGAGTCTCACCCTGTCATCCAGGCTGGAGTGCAGTGGTGCAGTCTCAGGTCACTGCAACCTCCACCTCCCAGACTTAAGCAATTCTCCTGCCTCAGCCTCCCGAGTAGCTGGGATTACAGGTGCACACCACCGTGCCCAGCTAATTTTTTGTTTCTTTAGTAGAGATGGGGTTTCACCATGTTGGCCAGGCTGGTCTCGAACTCCTGACCTCGTAATCGGCCCACCTCAGCCTCCCAATCTTAACTCATTTCTATAAAGGTATATGGTTTTGCCTCCTTGATTTGTAAGAGATCTTTTAAATATATTAAAAGTAAGGAGTTCTGAGATAGACCTGGATTATGGAATTAGAGAGGAGATGAAAGATGAAAAATACTGACAACTTTTTAATATTTTAAATATATTAAAAGAAATTTTAAATATAAATATCAGTCCCATTTTAGCATATGTACTACACATACATTTCCCTAGTTTGTTATTTGACTTTCATTTTTCTGTCTGGTGGGTTTATGACTATTTTGTTTTAAATTTTTCTTAATTTATCATATAGCAATCTTAACCTTCTACATTTCTGCGTCTGAGAATACACTTAGAAATTCCTCTTGCATTCCAAGATTATATAACCAGCCAATTAGTTCTCTTAGTTTTTCCAGGAAGAGAATCACATGATCATCTCTGTAGTATTATTTAAAACTGTTTTTCCTTTCTTCTTCCTTCCTCCTTTTTCTTTGTCTGATTACATTGACTAGAATTTCCAAAACAATAGTCAATAAAGAAAAAACCCAACATAGATAGTAGGCATCCTATGTCTTGTTCCAAACTTCAGTGGAAAAAGCATGTAGTGTTTTTCTGTTAAGTCGATGTTCGGCAATTGGATTCTGAAACACCCTGTTTATACTACCAAAGTAACTTGCCGTTCACAGCTTCCTGGGAGGTCCTGTGCAAATTGGAAGTTGACTTTGCTCAAATGCCACTTCAGCATCTCTAGAGCTAATTTTTTCTCCTTTGACCTATTGATGAGATAAATTATATTAATAGATTTTCTGATATTGCACCATCCTTAAAATCCTAGAAAAAATTTAATTTGGTTGTGATGGCATTATATGTTTTAATTCCTCTTTGAAAACCTTAAGATCTATATTCATAAGTACTACTTGTTTATCATTTTTATTTTTCTACATCTTTTTCTAGTACTTATAGTATGAATATAGTAGCTATAGGAAAAGAATTCAAAATGTAATTTTCTATTACTGTCTAATAACAGTTAACTGTGTAGAGGAGGTCTGTTCTATTATTCACCCACTACCTCTCTCTCTATTCTTAACCATGTGGTTTTGTGGGGTTTTTTTTTTAACTTTTTTATTATGGAAATTTTCAAGCATATGGAAAAGTAAACTGAAATACAGTGAATCCATCATTTGGTCCCAGCTTCAAAAACGACCAAATTCTTCACAATTTGTGTATGTGTGTGCTTTTAAGGAGCAGAGAGTTTAATAGGCAAGAAAGACAAGAGAAGGCAGAAAGAAGAAGCTCCCCCATACAGAGACGGGGTGGAGGTGGTTGGGGGGAGGCTCCAAAGCCGAAAGAGGAGGTCCCTCCCCAATTTTTTTCATCTATTCCCCCTCATGTTTTAAAAATTTAATGCTTGTCATCATGTGATTTCACAGTAAATTCTTCATGATATATCTTTAAAGGATGCAGTGAAATAAACCAATAAAGTGCCTTAGTTCTTTAAGCTTGTAAGTTTTTTTTTACTTTAAGCAAAACATTGTATCTAAGGTAGATAGCACAGTTTGTGTGTCTAGAACATTTCACAGGCCTTGCTTATACATTCCTGGGTCTAATATGTTTGGGGGACCACTCCTCTAACGTAATCTTTGCATTTCTTCTATGATTATTAATCTAATCAGAGTTCCTCTCATATGCTTTATGTGTTGTTTCAAAAATAAACTTCTCTATTCACTGCTTTTGGTTTATTATTTTCTCCTTTTTTCTCTATTTCTCCTATACCTTTCTCCTATAGCTCTTTGGTATATTTTAATATTCCTTTATTAGTTTTCATTGAATAGTACTTTAGTTAACTTATATCTATGGCTTGTTGCTTAATAATAAACAATGAGGCCATGAATTTCTAATATTTTGTGAAGTAAATAGTTTTACTTTGACCCAGAAGTCATACAAGAAAATATTTTACATGTTTGTAAGTTGTTAATTTTTATTATTGACCTTTTGTTATTAATATCAATGTGATGGCTTTGTGATTAAAGAATGTGTTCTGCAGACTTTACACATTTACTGAGAAATATATTTGTGGCTGAATACACCATTGATTATGATAAATGTTCAAAGGCACCACTTAAGAGAATGTATATCCTCAGTAATAAATGCAAAGTTTATAATATTTATACATGTGCCCTAATCTGCTTTGTGTTGCTATAATGGATTGAGACTGGGTAATTTAAAAAGAAAAGAAGACTTATTTGGCTCATGGTTCTGATGGTTGGAAAGTCCAGGATTGGACATCTGCATCTGGTGAGGGCCTCAGGCTGACTCCTCTCATGGCAGAAGGTGATGGGAGCTGGTATGCGCAGAGGTCACATGGCAACAGAAGAAGCAAAAGGGAAAGTGGGGAAGTGCCAGGAGCTTTTTCACAACCAGCTCTCTTGGGAACTAATAAAGTGAGCATCACTAACTCCAAAGGAAGGGCATTAATCTATTCATGAGGGATCCTCCCTCATGGCCCAAACACCTCCCAACAGGCCCCAGCTCCAACATTCGGGGTAAATTTCAACATGAGGTTTAGAAGGATCAAACATCCAAACCCTAGCAACATGTATGTATGTAACTGTAAAATCAACATTTTTTGTTGTTATATTAGTCACACCTGTATTTCCAGAAATACGGCGGACCATATGTCCTGAAAAATTATCCCAAACTACCTAGAAATGAAATACGCCTGTAATCCCAGCACTTTGGGAGACCAATGTGGGCAGATCACCTGAGGTCAGGAGTTTGAGACCAGCCTGACCAACATGGAGAAATCCCATCTCTACTAAAAATACAAAAAAAAAAAAAAAATGGTCGGGTGTGGTGGCATATGCCTGTAATCCCAGCTGCTCAGGAGGCTAAGGCAGGAGAATCCCTTGAACCCGGGAGGAAGAGGTTGCTGTAAGCCGAGATTGCGCTATTGTAATCCAGCCTGGGCAACAAGAGCGAAACTCCATCAAAAAAAAAAAAGAGAGAGAGAGAGAGAGAGAGAAAGAAAAAATGGTGGTAGATACATAGGTAGGTAGGTAGGTAGGTAGATAGATAGATAGATAGATAGATAGATAGATAGATAGATAGACGAGTCCTCTTTAAATGAAGAGCTAAGCATCCAAGAATAGGAAAAAATCTTAGGAAGAAAAATAGGGTGTTTAGAAAGCTGAAACCTGAATGGTAGCTGAGGCTGAAATTTATGGATCATGTATTTTGAGAAACTTCTAGGGAGCAGGAAACAAGTCCTTGTACCTACTTAAGGGAGCTGGGACTGAGGCACCCACCACCCACACTTATTAAAGGTTGCAGGGTTTATCACATACATAGAAGTAAAAGGACTGGCAATAATAGCCCAAAGAACAGCAAAGATGAAATATAAGTACAACATTGTGAGATTTGTATACTCTATATGAAGTGGTGAAGGTAGATTGTAATTTATTCAAGATATATAGTAAACCAGCCAGGTGTGGTGGTTCATACCTGAAATCCCAGCACTTTGGGAGTCTGAGGCGATGGATCACCTGAGGTCAGGAGTTCGAGACCAGCCTGGCCAACATGGTGAAACCACATCTCACTAAAAATGCAAATGGTAGCCGGGCGTGGTGGTGGGCGCCTGTAATCCCAGTTACTCGGGAACCTGAGGCAGGAGAATCTCTTGAACCTGGGAGGCAGAGGTTGCAGTGAGCCAAGATTGGGCCACTGCACTCCAGCCTGGGCAACAGAGTGAGACTCCATGTAAAATAAAATAAAATGGATGTATAGCAAACCTAGAACAGCCACTAAAAGATAAAGCCAAGAAAGGAGAGAAAATGGAATTCTGAAAAATACTCATTTGTTCCAAAAGAAGGCAGGAAAAAGAAGGAAGTAAAAAACAAATACAGGACAAATAGGAAACAAATAGCAAGAGTGAAAGATTTAAAGCACAGCAACTTGATAAATACACTGACTGTAATTTAAGTGAACCCAGAGGACTCAGAGTGAAACAGACCTGGGCCAGGACTTCATCGATTTCCTTTCCCCTGTATATACATGTCTGGGGCGTGGGATGGGGGCTGTGTGGGGAAATGATACCACTTAGGGTCCTTGGATATCAGTTCCAACTTGGATCTGTATCCAACAGCTTGCAAGACAGCTGGGTCTTGTCCTTTCTCCAGTGTACATTTATCCAGATAAATAGCTCTAGGGGTCTTTGTTGAAAGATTAAGACAATCGCTATTTCAGACACGTGCTGTGGAGTTGCAGAGTTCTTTTCTGTGAAGACTCTAGCTCTTCTTCAGTCGATGAGTTCAGAGTGAGAAAGCTCAAGCCTAGATATTGGACAAGGGCTAATTTTATTGATTGATTGATTGATTGATTGATTGATACAGGATCTTTCTCTGTCACCCAGGCTGGAGTGCAGTGGTGCCATCATAGCTCACTGCAGCCTTGAACTCCTGTACTCAAGCAATCCTCCTGCCTCAGCCTCCCGAGTAGCTGGGGCTACAGACATGTACCACCATGCCTGGCTAATTTTTTTTTGTTTGTTTTTAATACAGACAGGGTATCACTATGTTTCCTAGGGTGGTCTTGAACTCCTGGCCTCAAGCAATCCTCGTGCCTTGGTTTCCCAAAGTGCTGGGTTTACACACATGAGCCACTGTACCTGACCTATTTGCTTTTTCCATGTCGGATGAGTAATGTGCCCATGTTGCAATAAAGTTTGAGAGTGACACATCTCACACATGCATGTGAATACTCAATCATCACACTTACGAACTACCAAAGGATCTCATCATTTTCTGTCGGAGCACCCACCTCAGCCTCTGCTCATCCATGTTTTGTTTTTTTGGTTTGGTTTGGTTTGGTTTGGTTTTTTGAGACGGAGTCTCACTCTGTCGCCCCTGCTGGAGTGCAGTGGTGTGATCTTGGCTCACTGCAACCTCAGCTTCCTGAATTCCAGTGATTTCCTGCCTCAGCCTCCCGAGTAGCTGGGATTCCAGGTGCATGCCGCCATGCCCAGCTAATTTTTGTATTTTTAGTAGAGATGGGGTTTCACCATGTTGGCCAGGATGGTCTCGATCTCTTGACCTCATGATCCACCTGCCTCAGCCTCTCAAAGTGCTGGGATTACAGGCGTGAGCCACCATGCCTGGCCTGCTCATCCACTCTTTGTATCTTTTGACGGCATAGAGTAAGCAAGGCCTTTACTGACAACTGCTTTGGACACTGTGATGCACCACTCAGGTGCCTCTTCTATGAACGACTTGAAGTCCCAGATGCTGGGATGCTCTCTGAAGGCACCTTTGAACTGCCAGCATCCTTAGGTGTCACCCAGCTGTAGAGACACTGTCTACTAAGGTCATGCTGTTTCCCAGAATGGCCTACATCCAGGGACTGCTTGGTGCAGAAATATAAAGGGCTAGCATCCCCACTCAACTCAGGACAATACTAAAGGGCCATTTTGGCTCCAGGGCTCCCCTGCAGTTGGCCAAGACTAGTGTTGGGTCTGCCACAGAGCTGGATTTCCCTCTGCCCAATCTTGCTTCCATAACCTGCCTTCCACAGGTATTAACTCCACGTACACCCTAAATTCTGTCCTAGAACCTGCGACAGATGATCCCAGGAGTGTTCTGTGGAAGCAGGAGATAAGATGGGGTTTTGAAGATAGCACCTGCCACTGGCTGCAGTAAGGACCACATCCACAGGGATAGGCAGAACACAAGAACACAGGTGCTCCCAGAAACTTTTGCTGGTGGTAAACCGGGATGGCATATCAGTAGTACAGTGTGCACTAGCTGGTGTATCAGAAATTTGAGAAAGATGGAGGGAATCGTAGCTACAAGGTCAAGAAAATTGGATGAGTAGGGTTAAACTGTGTTAAACTCTGGAAATATGTAACAAAAATCTGAGACTTATTAATGGAAAACTATGTCTGAAAGCCAGATGGTGTTCTTTGTCATATACCTCACATTGGGAAGGCAGTGAGAACTAAGGGCTATGTCCAGGTATGAATTGTGGAGGTGACTGAGCTCCACAATTAGTTTAGTTAAAATAAAACTAAAGACAAATCCACTATACTGAGGTCAGGGTTTGGTTTAGAAAGAATGTGTCCTGGCCAGGCGTGGTGGCTCATGCCTGTAATCCCAGCACTTTGGGAGGCTGAGGCAGGCAGATCACTTGAGCCCAGGAGTTTCAGACCAGTCAGCCCAATACGGGGAAATCGTGTCTCTACCAAAAATACAAAAATTAGCCAGATACGATGGCCCATGCCTGCAATCCCAGCTACTCAGGCAGCTGAAGCAGGAGAATCACTTGAACCCGGGAAGCAGAGGTTGCAGTGAGCCAAGATTGTGTCACAGCCTCGGTGACAAGAGCAAGACTCTATCTCAAAAAAAAAAAAAAAAGAAGGAAGGAAGGAAGGGAGCATGAGAGGGAGGGAGGGAGGGAAGGGGAGGAAAGGAAGAAAGGAGGAAAGGAAGAAAGGGAGAAAGAGAAAGAGACAAGGAGATAAAGAAAGAGAGAAAGGAAAGGAAAAGAAAGGAAAGGAAGAAGAAGGAAGGAAGGAAGGAAGGAAGGAAGGAAGGAAGGAAGGAAGGAAGGAAGGAAGGAAGGAAGGAAGGAAGGAGAGAGAGAGAGAGAAAGAAAGAAAGAAAGAAAGAAAGAAAGAAAGAAAGAAAGAAAGAAAGAAAGAAAGAAAGAAAGAAAGAGAAAGAAAGAAAGAAAGAAAAGAAAGAAAGAGAAAGAGAGAAAGAAAGAAGGAAAGAAAGAAAAGAAAGAGAGAAAGAGAGAAGGAAGGAAGGAAGTAGAGAAGGAAGGAAGAAAAAGGAAAAGAAAGGAAAGAAGAAAGAAAAGGAAAAGAAAAAGAGAGAGAGAGAGAGGGTCCTGATACATAGGAAGGAGGTGTCTGGTTTGATGCTCTCCCCAAACCTTAAATTCCTAGATGTCTTTGAATCCTTTGAGCCTGCACAAATGTCCATTCTTTCTATTAAAAGCTAGCATGCTCCACCTTGCCTGAAGACAATGCTAGAAATCTCTCCCTTGCAAGTCAAAATGTGTCCCACTTGAGATCTGCCTTTAAGTCCTTTCCTGGCCTCTCTAGGCCTATAAGTCAGGTGAAGTCATAACTTAGGCCAGTCAGGAATGTGCTGGGCCTGATAAGGAAAGAAAGGAAACTATACTTCAAAACGAGCTGCCAGACTTAGCCTGTGCACACTGGAAATATATATGCGACAGTGAGCTCTGTAGTTGGTCCCATTAACCTTCCTCTTCTTGGTGTCCCACAGACACACCAGCTGAAAGAGCAGTTCCTAGAAAATGTGTGACAAAGTAGACACAAGAGGTAGACTGTACTGAACAGTGTAATACATCACCCAGGTCCTCAGTCAATAAAGGGCTCATTGCTCCAGTTTTTAGGGATGTTATTATCAGATAGGCTTCAGTTGGCAAACCCTTTTGGGATTTGTCAGTGACAGAGAGCTGTCTTACCCAACATTATATCCAGTGATGGGTCATTTTATGGTTCAACCTGCCTGGACCAGGGGATGCCCAGATATCTGGTGACACATCCTTTCTAGATATGTCTAGGAGGATGTTTCTAAAAGGGATTAGCATTTGACAAAGTAGACTGGGTAAAAAAGACACCCTCCCCAGGGTGGATGGGCATCATCCAATCCATTGAGGACCTGAATAAAACAAAAAAGGTGGAGAAAGTTTGAATTCCCTCCTTATCTGGTTGCTGGAGCCAGGACATTGATCTTCCCCTGCACTCAGCCCTCCTGCTTCTCAGGCCTTCAGTCTTGGAGTAGAATTTACAGAACCAGCTTTCCTGGGTCTCCAGCTTGCAGATGGTGGAATCACATCTGCCTCCAGAATCAGCCTCCATAAGCCTGTATAGTCATATGAGCCTATGGCTTACAATAAATCTCTCTTGAGAGAGAGAGAGAGAGATTTAGATGTCTGTCCCATTGATTCTGTTCCTCTGCAGAATCCTGACTAATACCTGCCCCTTCCCAAAGTGGCCAACATCTATTCATTGATCAATGTGGGACAATAAGGCCTGGCCATCCCAACCCAACTTGGAACACTGCTAAAAAACCATGTGAGTTTCACAGCTCACCCTGCGGATCAGCCAGGCTTGTATGAAGTTCATTTCCCTCTGCTTAATGCCACTTTCTTTCCCTCAGTTTCACAAGTTTCGATCCCAAGGACATACCTGAGTGAACAACCTGCTTCCTAAACACCAGCCCGTTTCTAGAGAACCCAGCCTGTGACAGCGGCTCAACACTCTTGCCCTTAGGAAAACCATATGCCATTTCCGAAGTCCCCTGCAGATCAGGTTCCCTGAATGCAATTCCAGTCTTACTACCTGTTATAGGAATTATGTTCATCTTTCTTCTGATTCTTAAAGGCTGCCTCCTGGCCTCCGCTCTCCTGGGATCTACTATCCTCGTTGCTATCAAAAAGCTCAGTTCTGCAACACCGTCAGCTACCTTCAGCCCCAACTTACAGAAGACAGACTTTCCTGAGGTTCTCAAAATGCTGGTGCCCCTTCTCCTCACCAGGGCATTTCTTATCAATTTGGCCAATGTCGTATTTTCTGGACCCTCCTGAGGACGGTCAGCTGGTGGGTTTTCTGGTTAGGTACAGTAGACTCATTCTAGCATTTTCAAGTCCTTGAACACCCCTTCTTCCACAATCTCTCATGGGTTTTCTGGCATCTCTGCTTCTGTTAATGAGAGATATCAGTTTTTCCAAGCTAAAAGCCATGCTTACTAACTGTTATTTAGCAACACATCAAGAAACTTTATAACAGAGAAGTCTTGAGAGTCACCACTTTGGTCACTCAGGTGATCAAAGTAAACACCATTGGACACATTAAAATCACTTGAGAGGATGCAGTGAGAACACGGTATCCCCTGTGAGAGACTCCCACCCAAAATCCCTAACCTAGATCTCCTCATGAGGAAACATGAAACTCAGATCGAGTGACATTCTGCAAAACAACTGTCCTAGTGTTAAGGTCATTGTCATGCACTGAACTGTGTCACGCCCCCAAATTCATGTGATGAGGCTCTAACTCCCCAATGTGACTATATTTACAGATAGTGCCTTTAAGGGGGTAATGAAAGTGAAGTGGTCATAAGAGTGGGGCCTCCCATAGAACTGGTGACGATCCAAGAGGAAGGGAGAGTGAGTGTGCTCTCCAAGCTTGCACAGAGGAAAGGCCGTGACCACACAGAGAGAAGGCAGCCACCTATTAGCCAAGAAGGGAGGCCTCACAAAAAATAACCCTGATTGCACCTTAACCTTGGACTTCCAGCTTCTATGCCTGTGAGCAAATGAATGTCCGTTGTTTAAGCCACTCCATCAGTGGTATTTTCCATGGCAGCCCAAGCTATCGCAGCCACAACATTTATGGAGATCTGCATTTTTCTACCATTCCTCTCTCTTTTCTTCCCTACTTATAGACATTTTAGCTAATATTTCCTAGCTTTATGATTCTTTTTCTAAATAAAGAACATTTCTTCTGGTATCCTACTAGGGCTGTAAACAATGTCCAGAGATTTACTTCTTGGAATATTTTCCAGGGGAAGCTGTTCTTGCAGCTCCAAATCTGTTTTCTACGACCTTCAACAATGATAAATCAAACCCTCTATTTTTATCAGTTCTAAGTTAAAGAATATGATGAAGGCCGGGCTCGGTGGCTCACGCCTGTAATCCCAACACTTTGGGAGGCTGAGGTGGGTAGATCATGAGGTCAGGAGATCGAGACCATCCTGGCTAATATG